TGTTACTTTGATTTAATACATGTTGATATTTGGATCTTTTTTCTATTGACTCATTCTATGTTCATCATTATTTTTTAATCAGTGTTGATGATAAGAGTCGATATACATGATTGTACCATATGAAGATAAAACGAGAAACAAAGCATATGATACTTAATTTTTTTGCCTATATTGACGCACGATTCTATAGTAAAATAAAATGTATTAGATCTGATAATAGTAAAAAATTCAATATGTCTGAGTTCTGTACTAACAAATAAGTCATATATCAACTTTCTTATCTTTATACACTACAACAAAATAGTGTAGTTAAAAGAAAACACCAACATATTTTGAATATGACAAGATCGTTACGCTTTCAAGCTTATTTACCTATCAAATTCTAGGTAGATTATGTGTTGCATATTGTATACCTCGTTAATCGTATACTCTCTGCGATCATCAACAATAAAACTCCCTTTGAACTTTTGTTCCCCACGGTTTCCACTTTTCATCATCTCAAAGTGTTTGATTATTTATGTTATGTTTCCACTTTAAACTCCGATCGTCCAAAGTTTGCCTCTCGTGCCACTAAATATATCTTTCTTGGTTATCATTCTCTCATCAAAAGGTATTGAATTTATGATCTTCAACCTCACAAATTGTGTGCCTCCAGAAATATTAGTTTTATTGGAATTTCTGTTTCATTCAATTCATCACACAATGCTTATAACTTTGTATTACTTTATTCTCATAGCTTTACAGCATAATTAAATAATGTCACATATAATATTTTTTTATAAAAAAATAATACAGATTATGACAACCAATATGAATAAATTAACTCTCGTAATAATTCTTCTCCTTCTTCTAGCTTTCATTCCATTAATTTCCATGCACATGATGAACTTCAACATAATATTTATGTACTAGAAGATTTTATTCATATTGAACCTTAAGGGGAGGTTATTAGAGTATATTGAACTAATTATTTTTTAATTTGTTGCAGATAGAATGATCTTTGTATCATTTTATTAAAGTTCAGGTTGTTTAATAACTATCTTTGTCAAATTCTCTTCAATTTAGCATCATTGATACTTATATAAATGCATGTTGTACCTTGTTAACTATAATTTATTTTGACTATATATATATATATATATTTTATATTTCTTATATATGGCATTCAAATCATTCCTAATTGTCTATTATTTAATGTGAATATGTTTACTTATGTGTATATGTACGTAAAAATATTCATGTACGTATGTTTTTATGAATGCATTTGAGCAATTTCGTTGTGCTTCTTATCTTTATCTAAGTTTTAGAAAATGGAATTTCCATCTCTTTCATTCATTATCCGTAATTGGATTCTAATAATAAGAAGAATATTCACCATTCACACGCGCACACACATATATAAATACAAGAGAGTTAGATAACATAAATCGATTAATTAATTAATTAAATTACTTTATTCAGATATTACTAAAAAAAAACTAGACCGTCAGATTTTGAAAGATCAAGTGGGGAAAGTGGGGTTGATGCAGGGCTAGTTTTTCTTTTTCTAATAATTAGTTTAAAATTAAAAGACAAATCATTCTG